TTAAAACTATTTTAGCAGTTGTAAACATTTAATAAAGGTTTATTGAAATAGATGCTAAACATTGAATATTTTTCAATAGCTATGTGTCGACACTTTATAACATTGTTTTGGAGGTGCACCAGTAAATGCACCCGGACAAACCTACAATTTTTCCGGCAGATCTATTATCCTTCTTCCATTAATAATAATCTCCAAAAGACTTCTTTTAAAACGCCTAATGCCAATCTTAGATTCACATATGCTTTCTCTTAAATTTTCTGTTTGTCCACTTTCTACCACATTTTTTTTTGTTCTCTTTTTTTAAAACAAAAGCAGTTTCTACCCACTCCGCGTTGCCTAATCGTAAAATAACGTTGCTTTAAAATAAGGTGCGGCTCCCGAGTTTTCAGAGATAAGACCAATCCCAGCCGGTGTCTTATAAGGGAGCATTCTTGGTCCAGTCCTATTTAATATAGTATTTATACTTTCTACTAGACCATATATATTGATACCAACATTAAACAACTTAACAACTTCTCCAGGTAGTCTTTTCACAAAGGCGATTAATTTTTTGGACTTTATCATTTCTATTTGCTAATTACGTATTTCTTCCTCAATGGAATGGATAAAACTTTTCAATTAAATTGTTGCATAAAAATTCCTGGGGTGTTTCAATTTGTTTAATATTATTTCCGATATCTAATAACCAATCTGATAATTTAATGGAATCGTCATCCCAACGCATGTTCTTGGACAATTTGAATTGCTGAAACTTATTCATTTTTTAATCATTTTATTTTAATCATTTTTTAAGTATGCTTCATAAATTTGTCTCCTGCTTTATTCTTTTACTACTGGTGAAACCTGTCGAAGGCACCACCCAATATAAAAATTATCCCTGCAAATATACGATCGTCATTAAAAAAATCTTTAAATGTCCTATGGGTAGTGGCTAAAACAAGTTGGAAATCATCTGTGCTTCATCATAGATGAAAATTTATCGAGTGCGTTTCATTTTACGTAAACAATTCAGTCTTTGCGCAGTCTTCAACTAAATATAACCCGAATATTTTATGTCTCGTCTGTCCATATGGGAGAAGAACTATGATGAAAACAATTCCGTAACTTGAGGAATTGTAATCCGTTTTGTAGTGATTTTTTTATTCAATTGGTCTTAAACAGCTGCACAAAACTGTGTAAAAAATGATGCAGTCCTCGCGGAAAATCTTTCACAATTTTTATACAAACAAAATACATAAATTTTAAATTGGGCTTATTCTGCAGAAAAAAAGTTTCTATTTCCGACTATGTATAATGTGACATGGTTTCTGAAAGTGAGAGAAGTGAAAAATTTTGAAAAAAATTGAAAACTTTGCTTTTACCCTCTTAACCTCTTTCTACACCATTAAAATCGTACAGGATCTCTCACACTTTAGCCAAACGTTTTTTAAATTGTAGAGATATACTTACACAATAGAATAACGCGTAATCCATTAAACGTACGACCTGGACAACTACGAACACACTTCTAGGATCGAAATTAGACGTTGTTTGGTTTTCAATTAAATTGTAAATTATTTGCAGCCGAAAGTTGTCGCGCGTACACTTATGCAGATGGCACGCATACGTGCGTTAGAGAAGTACGGGCCGATTTCCTGGGAAAAACAAATGACTGCATTGCGCTTTAGAAGATACCACCCCATTATAAGCCTGTTCACTAAAAATGTCGTTTAATTTTTAAAAATTGTTATTTTATACACAGTGTAGTCAAGTTTCTTTTATTTTAATTTTCGCGTTTTATTACTCGTTCAACATTTATACTTCATAACGATCTAGGAGTAAGGAAGGAACGAGAATTCCTTTGCTATCACGTCCGAGCAGGCTGGACGAGGAAGAAAACGAAGGAAAAACCCTGTCCGCTAATCCTCATCAACCCCGGGCAGACACCCCTCCTATCCTTACTTTTCACCAGAGTAATTTTAATTTCATTTATTTTCATTAACCCCTCATCATGCTTTACTTTTCTTTTTTCTTTTTTACTTTCCGATCTCGGAGCAGGTGTTGACGGAAGATGAGCCTGCTTTTATTAATTTTTTAAAATTATAATTTTAGGTTCTTTCTCACAGGAAAAAGGCCCTATGTTAATATTTTTTATTTACCAATTATAACTCCAGGCCAAACCACTACTGAAACGCTGTCCGGCTCCTTAAAATTAATCAGGGGCGGAAATCGACAAATTAAACAACTGTAAAGAACACACTAACAATTTACAAAAAGTGATTCGGCCCATTTCAAGTATCCAATCAATCCATGCATTCAAATCAAAATATGTGGTTGTTACTTATAAGGTGAATATAAAACTTAAAAAAATAAGTAAATTAAAAATAAAACTAAATGATGCTCCAGAACCTAAGGAGGCTGCAGGCGCGCCTATAAATGATTTTTTAAATATTGAGCCGGCCTGTGCGTCGTGACATTGCAAAAACCAAAAGATATATTTAAATACCCACCATAATATATAATTATTTCTGACTGGATGCTGAACAATAATTTTAATTTAAAATATTTTTGATTTGAAGAATAGAAGAACTAATTTTATTTTTTGTATGTACACGTGAAGTAACATTGTAAAAAAATATTAATTAAAATACATATTTTTAATATCTTATCTTAATGTATTTCGTCGTCAATACACCGTTAAATTATACAAAAATTAGCCATTACACCTAGAAAGAATAGTCTACCCGGCCAATGAGAAAAGGCTGGAAAATGAAGGAGCTGTTTAAACTTGGGCCATAAAAATGATACATTACGGCTTCAAACGAACGAAAATCTATCAATGAGCCTCACTTTCCTTCTCGTAGATTGATGGATTAAGTAGAAATAAGTACTTTGCTGCGAGATCTATAAAATAGAAACCTCATTGACAATGTGCAAACCTGGTGCCTTTGTGAACTTTTTGAAATGATACTCAAAAGATATGCTGTTCAAGAAAACCCTTGAATATATACATATTAATGAATGTTTTCGAAATGCCAAATTGTGAGTTAATAATATCCCACCTTAACATTTGTAATATTACTTTCTAATTGCATTTCAAAAACAAACAAGTTCTAATATCTTCAGGTAAATGCATTAATACATTTTTGATTGTGTATTTAGTGTATTCATATATGTTTAGCGGTCAAAATCGACCTATTTTATCATTTCAATTAATTAGTTTAATAATTAATAATATTTTTGGTTCGATGTAGTTCATATCAGCCTTAAAAATTATAATTTTACTTTAAAATATTACAAGTAAGGCCAATTTGACAAAAATACCACTCAGTTCTTTCGTCAGGCTTTCAAGGATTATACAAACCCCAGGACTTTGAAATTATCTTTAATAATTCAGAAAGTTAACAAATGCAAACATTTACTTACAAAACTGAAATTTATGGCTTCTAATAAGTGACTTTACGATTAATAGTGGAACGAAATTTACAGCCCTTTCAGTTTATATGGGAATCGTGTTCTAGTAATCGTGATACTTCCGATGCAGAATTGAATGAATTGTTCATCTCATTAGTACTCGAAATGATAATCATGCATTTAACAACAAAATAAACAAATTTTAATTTTGAAATGGGCAGGTTACGTCAACGGAAGAACAAAGCAATTTCTCTACATTGATTATTATTTTACAAGCTCCTGAAGTAAGGTTTGGTAAAGACGAATGATGTAGAAAAACGAAATAATGTAAATTACAGTAAATTAAAGCTTGTTGGGCATAATAAACATAACAGTAAGCTGAGAGTTTTACGTTAACAAATATTTTTGCCTGGATTTTAGCTTTAGTACAGGGTATCCTTTTTGGATGTCCCGGCTAAATTTCTCTTGAACAGATAATGTTATCGGAAAACCAAAAAATACGCACTAAATATTTTTAGCCTAGTTTTAAATTGGTACGTTTTTTGTATATTTGCTGTCAGGGTACTTCAGAGCCAGTATAACTTTGAAAAGTTAAATGAGAATCGGTATTTTTATCTATTGTGCTAAAGGGTTTTTTTGCACTGAAAACAATGGCGCGATCATATTTTAAATTGTTCAAAGAATAACAAAGTTAAGGCACCGAATATGAAACGAAATATCCGAATTCATTATTATTTATTTTATTATTATTGTCATTAATTAATTTGTTTGTTAATTTTAATAAAACTTCTATGCTTTATTTCTAAATAAGACATTTTTAATAACCCCGTGAAAAACATAACAATACGTAGTAAATATAAAAAACAAAACATTCTAATGGTGCGAGATCGGACTGAACTGAATTTTTTGGTTTGAGTTTTGACTTTCCCCAATTTAAAAACTGATCGCAGCATCGTTTTCAATGTAAAAATACCTTTCAGACCGTAGATCAAAATGTATACGATCTCGTTTAAAATTTCAAAGTTGTACTGACTCTAAAGCTTCCTGACCATAATTATATTTAAAAAGCGGTAAAAATTTAAAACTAGATCAAAAAATATTAAACGTTTGCATTAGGTTTTGCAATAAAATTATCTATTCAAGAGAAATTCAGCCGAGCTATCTATAGAAAGCTATTAGCCTATTACACATTTGAAGAATAATGAGTTGGGCAATTTAATTAATTAATGTTGTTTCGACTATTTTGAATATTTCGTCATAATGACGAAATTTAATTTAATGAAATATTTCAATTTGCTAATTTGTGGCCGATAAATTATTTATATACGACCAAGGCGATTGAAGCAAAAGTGGCCCCGAGACCTTCTAAATTAGTAAATATTGAAGAGGTTTCAGTGTGAAGGAGTGTTGCCATTGGCAATTTCTCCTACCTTAGACTCGAATGATAAATAGAGCATATACGAATATATTAACTTAATACAAAACTTGTAGTTGTAAATATCAAATAAATGAAATAAAAATTATTTATAGCTCAATTATTTGAATGGAGTATATTGTGAACTCAAATGGAGGTTTAAGGTTGGAAAATGATGGCAAAGTTTACTCACTTGACAATCTCGGTGTAGCAGGAAGTCGGCTCCGAATTGTTGGTGGACGACGCCAGCGTGCTGGAGGACTGGAATCTGGCCCGTTCGAGTCTCATTCTCTCCATTTCCCTTTTCTTCGTCTCGGAAAACTGAGTCGCTATGACGACGAGGCACAGGTTGATCATGAAGAATGACCCGATCTGAAAAAAGATTCCGTCGGTTGTCAATCGGAGAATTTCGAATCGGCCCGAGCCGTAGAATAAACGGCCCAAAAGTGAATTACAACCGACCAGTCTGTTCCTTTCATTCAATTTAGATCCGTAGTGAGGAAGGAAAGCCGCTCGGGGCCTATTAGCCCTCCCTAACCGGGCAAAAAATATCTCCCTGGCGGACCACTTAGAAAGAGAGATGAAGGGCGTATACGGTAAATCCAATCTGCCAGTTTTGGATGATCTTGTCTAATTTCCGGTTGGAAGATTACCGTCAAATCGCCGATGACGACAAAATTTGTTCACTTCAAAGGTGAGGAGCGAGCAATTTTTAGATTATTCCGCAATCCCTGGGATCCCGAAGCCTCTACGCCCGACGATCGATTGAGTTATTTTATTCATAAAGAAAATTCGTTTATGGAGACAACCAAACTGAATACTAAATTTCTTCCTGAAGACTAAAGCAGAACAGCATTATTATTCAGAAAATATGGCAAGTGTACTTTTAATAAAATGTTAAAAAGAGAAAGGAATGTGCTTTTCCTCGATAGCGTCGTACATTCGATGAAACCTAGAAATACCAAGCCAAACGTCAAAATTGGAAGTTTTCGCTTTTGGGGATTAAACATGTACACGAATCCGGCCAACTTCGCTACATTAATCAAGAAGTTCTTAACCCCTGCGAATTTTCCCTATTCGACTTAAAAACAGTTAAGACATCTTGCTTCGATTTAAAAATTCAATCTTACAAACTTATAGCTGTTTTTGATTTCATTTAACAAAATACCCGTCACAGTATTAAATTAAAGCATATTAAGGATTTCCAATCTTTTAAGACGAGTTAACATTCAATCCTGTTGGAACAAGAAGAAACGTTTTCCTTTACACGCAATGTATAATGGATTGGTGAAGGGACTTTCGTCTCGTTCCAGTGACATATGTTGAGAAAAGGAAATGGGACCGCAATAGTTGAACACATTATTAATCTGTCTAGAATACAATTGTCTTGGTTCAAATTCATTACAAAAAATTCTCTTAAACAATATTATTTAGTCTATATCGTCCTTTTGTTGGAGCGTTTTATAGAATAGGATCAAACTGAAAATCGTTATATGTATTTTTTTCAATAAAATTTGAAATAATACCGAGAAAAGATTTATTTTTTTTATAAAAAAGGAAAAATATGTATACAGTGTTTCAGTGGATTTATATTTTTTTATAAAAAATAAAACAATGGTTTTATTTATGTTAACATTTTTTTTCTGGAAAAATCGAGTACAGTGACGGGAATGGGACTCGTATTGTTAATGCTTCGATAAGAATACATACATATATTAACAACATGAAATATATACATATGTTAACAATACCGATTATCGGTTTGATCAGATTCTATAAGACGCCCTAACAAAAGGTCGATACAGACTGAATAACTGACTGGTGTGAAGTACAACACTTGGTTTGAACAATCCAATATCACTATTGATGGAAATTATATCAGGTTAAAGTGAGAAATCCGAGTTACTTCAAGTGACAAAGGACTACATATGAATCGATGTCAGAGCGCAGTTCTCAGATATCCAGTTTTGCCCTCCTGTCTTGCCGATATCTCCGAAGGGCGTCCACTGCCCTGCTGGTTTATTAATGGGAATAAATATCCTCCTTTGATGTCAAAAAGCTGGGATGGATCAAACCATTTGACTCCCGGCATCCGGTCAATTAGTCCGGTTCAAATGTCCTCTCTTCTCGATTTGCAATTCAATGACCGGACCCGTGTAGGTGAATTATGGATGAGCCATCCAGGGATAAAAATTGGTTTTCCAAGTAAGGAGTGTCTACGGATCCCAGGGACGAAAATTTCACAATGATGGAAATGATAATTCGTTTGTTTGCACATGGGGCTGGAACGTTATACTGACAGTTCGCTTTTCCTAGTCTAAACTTTCTCCGAAATTAATAAAAAACATAAGTACTTATGTACTAAATATATAGATAAATAATTAAACGTAACATAAGCGGTAATTAAAATAAAAACAATACTACTCTGATTGGATTGTGATAAAATAAATTTCATTGAACAAGTATACTGTTATTTTAAAAAAATATAGTAAGCTAAATTCAAAAATAATGTATCTTTCTTTAAAAGTACTACAATTGTGTAATCAATAATTAAACGATAGGAATTTAATGTCTTATCTAATTTTTTTCTAAAATTGGATTTGACCAACAAAAATGGGCATATTATACGAAGTTTAACGAATTTTAAAAACGAAGACAGCATAAAATCTATATTTTTTTAAACATATATTGTACATAGACCAGCTAAAATATGTATTTGCATTTTTGAAAAAAATGCTTTTGTTAAACCGATACATGGAGACCATGATCAGAGGTGATCCTAAGCAGTTTTACATGACCGATTACCAAAAAGTGATGGGTTTTTATAAGAATTTCTGACACAGACAATTTCAATTATTTCAGAAACCATTGAAATTTAAAACTTTTAAAAATGGAACAGAGAAACAACATCTCAACTAAAACGTAAAATACGAAAGGCGATTGATTGATGTCTCCTTCATACATTGAACATGAAATATATATATATTTATATATATATATATTTGATAGTTGAAAATTTATTATTATGAAATACTAAATAAACTCTGGCAGTATCAATGATCTTTTGGGACTTGTTGTTTCAACCGAACATTTGATAAATGGGTGTAAGGTATCGGACCTAAACGTGTATTGATTTTCGTCACACTCTCGCAACAATTTTCCGGAAGGTTAATTAAACAATAACATTAATATATTGTTTTATATAGACAGTTTTGGAAACAATTTTATGAATAATAAAATATTACGGATAGCGATAAAACAATACCACTTTTTTTGGGCGAAAAGATAAAGTCAAATTAATTATTCAGTAATCGTGAGATGCGGTCTCGTGTGATGTAGGTTTCAGAAAAACATTTTCTTTATCGTGCCAACGTTTCGATCTTTATTGAGATCCTCTTCAGGCTCAAAGTGTTTATCTTCTGTGTAATTGTGCCATTCTTGCGTGTCGTGTTGAGAGTGCCCCCACTAATCACCACACATAAAGTCAAATTTTTCTCTGCGGTTATTTTCTTCCGTTTAAAGTGTAATTAAATTTCTAGTTTTGCAATCAGCTAATAAAATACTCAAGACGACACTTAGTATTCAGACTAATCAGAGATACTTTGTTAGCTAAGTAGGCTACAAGTTACGCTAATTAATTTTTTGGGTCCGTCCATCCTTGCTTGTACTGGTTATTTAAAAGCGTGTACTTTACGCATATCAGTAATGATCATTTCAACATGGTTCATCAACTTGCAGACCAGCCAACCCCCACTAAGTTTGAGTTCTAATTGTTGACATTTTTTAATGAGTTCAATTCTTTTTAAAAATGAGGCTTAAAAGGATTGGAAAATATTAAGCTCATACAATATTATAACGAATTTTAAATCATATTGGTTTGGCAAGAGAGTAATGTCATTTTTCATCATTAATTACCTCAATATTTAGTTTTTGTCTATATTTATTTCATTTACAAATACGCTTGTATAATTTCTAAATTAAAAGACTTTCTCCTCATTTAATGTTTTTAACTTCTTTAGTTGTGTCGAATAATTTAATATGTAATCGTGTCTTTGGATGAAACGCATTTAAGGCATTGTTCATTTTATCAATTCCAAAAAGGGAACAATGCAACTGTTGCAACTGGAAATTTGTGTGCACTGTTTGGAAAAATGGTGCGCGCAGTGGATGTTCTTCTGCGGTTGACTACGATGTATTGAGGCTTAGTGTAGAAAAAAAATCCTCTTTTGACAAACTGAGAATAAGGAGAAATATTAAATGTTCCCACAGAACCATTGAAAACCACATCCAAATAGTTGTGTTTGTTCAAATATACTCTATCCGATACGAACCGAGCGATAGGAATTTGGCGGATCGCATCTCGATGCTTTTCTCTCCTCTATTGTCACTCTTACGATTTCTATCTAGATTGGTAACAGATGATGAAAAACGATCACATACAAAAACATAGCATAAATTCTTATTGCCAACCCGGTCAACGCCCCAAGTTGTTCCAAAACAACAAATACACGAAAAAAGTATGCTGTGCACTTGGTGGCTCACATCCGTCCCATGCATGTGGAGCTTTTACCACTAGGACAAAGAGTTAATAGTGAACTTTACTGTGAACAGCTAACCCGTTGAGACCATCAAATAGTGCAAAAAACGGCCTGCACTTGCAAACAAAAAAGGAGTTGTCTTTCACCACAACGCCCGCCGTTCCTTTCAGGGCCAAACAATTATTTACTAATATGAATTGGGAAATTTTATCACACCCGCCATACTCTTCGGACATTTCACTTTGTGTCTACTGTTTATTTCGGACATTAAAAATTTTTTCAAACGGCCAAAATTTTGAGTTTTGAACGTGTCCAAACAGCTGTTCATATTCCTGGACTCTAAACATGGAAATTTTTATGGGAAAGGACTAGACATGTTCCCTGAAAGATGGCAAAAAGTAACTGCAAGCAATGTAAAATACATCTCCGAGTAGTTAAAAACGTAGAGGTATAAAAAATAAATATGTATACTAAATAAGAATAAAAAGGTTTTGCCAACCAAATAAATTAATTGAAAAATAAATTTCAGTGAATTAAGCAAAATTGTATTTTCATGATTATTTAAATTACTTAATTAAGAGTAGATTTTCTAGTGTTTGGTACTTTATTCGCCTTCGTTTTTACTGATAAGGTTCCATAGATGATACTGATTATACAAGTACGAGTGGTCCCTAAGCACTCCAACTTTTTTGCTTATTATACTTTTTCTAGTTCCTTGTTCAATTTAGTTAACTCAATCATTTTTTTAGTAGTAGGTTATTTACTATCAATCCTGCATTTTTTCCCGGGTCTGTTTGGTATCTTTTGTACGCCTCCATTTCTTTACATTCACAGATCATAAGGGCGGCTATTTCTTCTTCCTTAATTTTATAAGTTATAATTTGGTTGATATTTGAATATACCCATGTTGTGGAGGTGTTTTCTCAGTTATCACTGACCTGTATATAGCGCTATCACGGCCCTTAGGTTTACTCTGCCTAACTGCAGCAATATGCTTGCCAATTTTGAAGAGGATTCCATAGCCATGGTTTACAGTGTCATCTCTGGAATTTCACCTTTGTTGTCCCTTAACACTCTTTAAGGCTATTCGGTCTCTATTTTTAAGAATTGTGCCACCCTTTTTACTGTTAATGGTTCCAAGGAAGATCGAGAATTAGATGGGTGATAGCTTTTGAATTATTTATTGAAGTGTTTTCCAATGAATATATGTTGATCATTGTGTTGGTGGTTACCCATCATTTAAACATTGAGGATTCAACTAGAAACTATATTAGAAAATAATATATATAGCNTATATACAAAACAGGTTTTTTAATGTATAAATTTTGTAAAGAGAACGTAAAAAAGTTTTCTATACAGAACTTTATAATTCATGTATTAATATTAAAGGACGCGTGTTGTAAAAGAGAAGAAATTATTCAGCTTTTTCAAAAGTCGAAGTTGCAAAGAGAGGGGTTTTCATACAAAAAGATTTATTTAATAATAAAACATGTCTTTAAAAAAAGAGAATTTTCAGAGCGTTATTAATAAAATTATTTGGCTTTTTTCTCATGTCAGATGTTTTCACTTCCATAATATTAATAATTCAAAAGAAACACGGCGGCAAAGATAGACGGTCGGTTAGCATCTTAACCCGAACACGCTTTGCGAGCTGATAATAATAAATAAATAATACTAAAAGATGGAGGATAAAGACATTATTCTTTTTTGATTAGAAACTTTCCTGAAAAAAAATACAATTCAATGATAAAAGCCATTGTCTCTAATTGCTATTCATATATTGCACCTTCTAATGACTTTCAACAAAAGTGAAAGGGAAAAGTCAATAATAATATTTTTTAAATTGGATTTAAATAAAAGAATACAATACAAAACAAATTTAAAATTAAACAAAACCATTTATGCTTAACGGTCTAATTGACTATATTAATTATTTCAATAAAATATTGTTTTTATGTAAGATCTTGATTGATACGAAAAAGTTAGTGCCACGAGCGGGATTCGAACCCACCACCTTGAAAAATGGCAAAAAATGTTAAAATGCGAAAGGTTGTAGGTTGACAGGGGGAGTTGGAGTCCGAGTCGATCTAAATCACGATAGCTCAATTGGTGAAAGCAACGGCGTATTTAGTCGAAGGTCGTAGGTTCAAATCCCGCCCACTAACTTTTTCATCTCAACTAAGACCTTACATAGAAAGAACAATTAATTGAAATGGTTAAACAAAAGATTTAAAGAGAGTAAAGATAAGCTATAACTAATTTTATATATATTTTTATATATATATATATATATAACATTATGTACGTCCCAGGGAAAGTCCGGAAAAATTGTTTGGTGACAGTAATCCTGTTTGCAACAACTTCTAACGTATAGACCCGATATGTCTTCATTCCGTGACGAATTACGATTTTTGGTTATTTCTCCATGTGAAACATTACCTTATTTGAGCATACGTCGGTGATGTCGATTTATGGGAAAGTACAGCTTGTAAGTGTGTTCGCAAGGCCAGAAGCTGCATCAGAAGAAAGGGGTAATACGTCGCATCTGGTGTCCTTTATTACGAATTTTCCCCCAACAAGCCGACTTGAAATTCTATCGCATATTACTCGAAATCGTACGGCTATATGGTACTTAATGTTTTATTTCTGTTGGTACAAAAGTTAATACGACTATTCACCTGACTGGTTATCATCAGAATTCCACCTATACTAAGATGTTTAAAATTTATTTGATAAAAGACACATTAATTTTTTGTACTGCCTGCAAACCATGTAAGGTAGGTCAGTCGAAAGAAGAAATTATGAAACTAAACGGAAGATGGAAACGGTCATTGTTATTTAGAAAAGTAGTTTGCAATCATCATTATTTATGAATGTATATCACTGATGCAAAAGCTTGTATTTTTGAATAATCACCAAATTATACTGTTAATAAATTATTTTAAATTTCGAATTCGTTTCTAAACTATGCTAACTATCTTTCCTAACTGATATCATGCTGAAAAAACATAGGTTACTTATTGGGTCCGTCTTCTCTTGTGGTTTTGTAATTACTGAAACGCATTTCGTCATAGCACCATCTTTAGTGAAGTACTCATGATTTTCCCTTTTCCTAACGGATGATGGCGCAAAGCCGATACGAGTTTTAGAAATAATACGAACCCCTGAGTGAAAGCGGACGTAGCATAAGTTAACCTACTCGCAGACAAACACCCATAATCAATTTTGAGTTATATTGTTTTTTTAATGAAAAAATCATGTAATATCACGAACGAACGGTCAGAACTACTTTACAATACTTTTTTCCAAATTAATCTCAAATAAGATATCAAGGGCTATGCGAGGATTCCAACAATGAATCGCTGATGTGACAAATCCGTGTTAAGTGCCCTAACCACTCAAACACCGCGGTCCCCGTTGGATATTACTACCTAAATAATCAAAATTGGGGATTCATTAACAAAAATATGTTTCCATTAATTAATATCACACTTCCAGCTAGCATTGATAATATTTAATTTCATTTAACTGCTATGGCATACTAAATTTTTTCAACGATGACCGTCAGGGCTTGACAGAGTAATGGGAACGTCGATAAAAGGTAGTGGTCAATCTAGACTTACGACGCGGCTAAAGACGTCCATTTCCCGGTACTCTCGTCGTTATCGGGCCGATATTTATCAGATGGCGAGAAATGGGAAAAGTTTGAAACTTGGGCTGTAACGTTCCCACTGGCAACGGATACGGCCAGAAGACATTTTCTTAAGACATTTGTCCACGTTAAGCATCGGTATAAAGATTTTTTATGTTCATGTGGATAAACTTTGACAATCACCACTTTGAAAAATCATATAATCATGTACAAAATACAGCTTGTTAGAAATATAGAATGATATTAATTATGAGAAAGTTACATAGAAAATTTTATACTTACAACTATAAGAAGAACGAAGTAGATCCAGTCCCAGAACGAATGAGCGTCTTGAACGTAATACATTATGTCACTCCATCCTTCTAGAGAAATGACCTGTTACATAATTAAAAAATTTAGAGAAAATGAAACAGTTGTATTTTTAATTTTTACACACCAGAAAAATGGCGACCCAAGCAAGTCCGATATTGTCGAATGAGATCGTCCCTTGAAACGGGTTCAGTCCTTGGGGCTTGCACTCGGTGTAGTATTGGTTCCAGTTGACGCACGACTTGTTGTTGGGTATGTTGGGACTCCAGGGGAGGGCGATACCCGAGCAGGTGATATTGCCGAATTTGGTGGGCGGAATGTCTTCGCATCGGTGCATCCCGGAGTCTTCCGGACGGGAGCAAATGTAGTCCCTCTCTTGCTCCTGGTGGAAATAGTACGCTGCTAGCTGCCTGCATCAATCAAAATTATTATGAACCACCTAGCCGGTTGATTGTTTTCAGAGGTCCAAGAAACCGTCCTAAACTGTGTTCGAATCAGTAGAAATATCGTGGGTACATATATGCGTGAATATATTTTCTTACACCATGTTATTAACTGTTTAATTAGGTTCTTTCCAACTCATAGTAGATAGTAGGATTCGCAATTTATTCATACCGCTTGACGTCATTGTATGCTTTGGTCAGACCAGTTCATGTTGACATGAATGCAACTGCAAATGATCTCTCTCACATGATTTAAAATTGAAATGAGCATACTTTCTAAAATTCAAATTTGTGAGACACTTTACAAGAATTTACAGTTAAATTTAATCAATCAAATATTATAAATATGCAATCTATCTGAAATGATTTTTGTTCGAATTTCAAATTTTAATCAGCCATGTTAGAAATTTACAGGTAACGCCACAAGGTTTCATTTTCCGTCGAAATAAATGAAATAATAAACAAATTGTCCAAAATTCTTTTTTGACTTCAACATGAAACATGTTTTTTAAAAATTGACTCATATATTAAAATTTTCTTGCATACATTTTATTACATATAAATGTTGAAATTATTCCCATCAGGAAGGAAATGTTGTCTACGTTCTCTAGGACAATTTTAATTTTTCATTGCTATGTTTAAAAAAAAAATTGTTTCTGATTTTTTCCATTTTCAAAGACAGCCCACTGAGATTTTACGAACACGTTAAATCCTCGAAAAGGGCCAATGTACATCAAAGGACCTAATTATGAGGGCAAATTGCAAAAATCCGTCAAATCTTCAATACGAGAGATCGATCGATTAATCAAGTATAACATCAATTAACCCACGTAATTAATATCTGGAAAGCATCCCGACTCGTGGCCCCCGCTTGAAATTTGCAGTTTAATCCTCCTCGATTTAAATCTCTGCTCATTTAAATTTTAAATGGAATTTTTTACCCCTGCCGTCCCCTCTTGCTCGTTGGCGTTCGATTCGTTAGCGCGCATTATTCGAGGGTTTTGTTTTGATGACAAAACAGGAAGTCCTAGTCAACAGGTAAAGCTGTTTTTTTCACGTTCCTTTTGTGCACCGGCATTTTGTTCCTTGACAAAAACCTAAGTTACGGCCTCGTTCACTGTTCATTTATTATTACTTTTCATTTAGTTTATTCATGTCCATTAGCTTAATATACAATATGTAAATCTTATAGATTTGAATAATAAATATTTAAACTTAACCAAATATTTTACAAAATAAAACAAACTAAAAATCATTCTTAATTTTCAAGGATCAACTACTTTACTTTAAATATGTTAGTTACACATACAACAATGTATGGGTTAGGCTATAAAGTTCATGTAATGCTGTAAGTTTTATAAATTGTATGTTGTTAGTATTGCCTGACATGATTATTGACCTCTTGTATAGACGAAAAACGTATTGCTTGTAAATTAAGGGGTCGATAATGATTATTTAAGTTTGATTAGTCAACATTTATCTTGGCGTACTCTAATAATGTTTACAAGTTATAACTTATTCGTAAAAAAATTGTTCGCATGAGTTGCTAATAAATAAACAAAGTCGATGAATTTGACACATTACGAAATAAAATAGCACATCTGCAAATACTTATTAGATTTAAGGACGGTTTAGTATTGATAGTACTCATTAATATTTTTTGTTTATAACATATTGATTTTGACTTTTTTAATACAAGAAAAATTGTATTGTTTCTGATAATTTTTGTACTTTAAAACAAGTGTTAGGTTTCAATTTATGAAAATGAACCAATATTTTACACCATATTATAAATTGTTAGGTTGTTTAAATGTATTTTAACATTGGGCTAAAATGGTTTGATATAACAACTATTTTTCGAAGTTAAGTAGATATTTAACATTTTAATTAAAAATGGTTGAAAATTTACGAGAATACTTAATACTGTGTCTTAGAAGGTTTCTATATAGAGTGAATCGTGGCCTGCGGTCGAAAACTGCGGCGATAATTTTTCCCGAAAGCAATCAGCGTGATTAAATTGTTTCCTGACTTTTGGTGCCCCTTCGGGTTACCATTACCAACTTTCTCGCTGTCAATAATCCCATCCAGTTTAAAAGACTAGCACGATGGTGATAGATGGCCTAACAATTCCGACATCTCGGCCATTTACAGAATTAACTTTGACAAATAAAAGACCATTATTAACAAGTTAATATTGTCACTTAACAAGTTAAGTGCAAAAATAGAAATAATAAAATCATTGGATATAAAAGGTCCATTGACGAGGTCTAAATATAAATAGTTAAATACTTTCGACACAATTATTTAACTAATTAAACAATAATATTGTAACATAACACAATACTCATAGTAGAAATGAAAAAATGAAAAGGTAGATCATACAAAATACGAGATAGATTAAACCCGCAGAACAGTTTGGCCGCGCAAAAGTGTATATTCTTAGCGCCGCGTTGCTTAAACTGGAGTACTGTTTTTCTAATCTAATCTAAACAATTTATCTTTTATTATTGATTTTAATATATTAATTGCCAGAAATAAATACATAAAATATTACCACTTCAAAACCTTACCGAAATTATTTGTGAGTTGCCATGTGAAAATAGAGAAGTATAGTAATCGACGTTCATCAAGTCGAGAAACCTGAAAATATGACAAAGCCTGGCACACACTGAAGATCCCTAATTAAATCATGTCAATTATCTGATTAATACGAAAACGCACAAAAGATAATATAAAGTTTAGTTTAAGGAGGGAACATGGTTTAAAACGGCATCCTATCTTCTTGAATATTGTTGTTTAACCATGAGTATTCCAAAAGAAACTTGTTTACAGATCTGTATCAATTATGTTTTACCCGTAATCGATCTGGAAACATATTCGTGATATAGGCCAATTATTTTGATGTAATATACAGTCGCATGGAACCTTTTATCCTACAAAGATAACAAACGGACTTGTTAAACGGAAGACTCCCAGGGCGAGGGTGCATTAAGAATTACGGTCTGAATCCTTGAGAGCAGGTGGAGATATAATTCACAATTTCCAAGCTGCTTTAAAACACTTTCGAGGGCCTGAGGACCTCGGGATTAGAGACCTTGTGAAAAACGTTACTTTTTAGATGGTGGATTTTAACCGTTTTACCTCTGTAATTTGAAATTCTAAAACAGTTTTTATCTATTACTATTTGTTTGATTTTATTCAGGGGATTTTAACTTGTGAAATTAACGATCTTTAATTAATTACAGGTGGTCACAACACTTTCACACCAATATGGCCCACAAGAATAGTAACTCACTTTATGCCCTGAAGATGACTCGAATAAAGGTCGAAACGCCAGTAAAAAAATGAAAAAGGTGTTTTTCTAAAGTACCTCATGCTTGGCCGCTTCTCATGACTTGAACAAGTTATAATTTTAGTTGAAAACTGAAAATAAGCCACAGTAAAAAAAAAGATTCATAAAATATTTTAATACACGAGATAAAATGATATCTTAATAGAAATTATGAGGTGGTGAAATTAGGAATAAGAAAATGATATATTGAGAGATGTTTTCATATATTGAAAGACGCAAAAGGATTACTAGAAACGAAAAGATATGGATTAAAGACATACACAGTTAAATATTTTAAATTTCTAAAATTAATAAATTTATATTGTGTAAGTTAATTTTAAAATTCTTTATAATAAGATAAATGTGTAGTTTTAGTGAAACTTGTAGACCCTGCGGTCGTGGGTTCAATTCCCACCTTCGCCCCTAGCCTTTTTTTCATACTTCCTCCTAAAAACCAGTATAAAATATCAACGGAATATGTACTCTGGCTAATATGCAATTCCATAAGGCTCTTAAAAAATGAAATATATAAAGAAAGTGCGTGATTTATATTAAACTGGAGCATAATAATTTAATTAACACATTTTAATCACAGACTACGAATAAATTATATTTGAAAATTTTAGTGAAACGATATGTTATTTGATTGAAATTTTACGGCCTAAAATGTTTACCAAGACAACACTTTAATCTTCCATAATGAATTTTAAAATTAACTTACACAATGGAAGATATAAATTTATTAATTTTAAAAATGTAGAATTTTTAAATGTATATGTCTTTATTTCATATCTTTTCGTTTCTAGAAAACCGTGTGTGTCTTTCATCATATGAAAACATCCCACAATATATTATTTTCATATTCTTACTTTCCCCACTTCATAATTTCTATTAAGATATTTTATCTCGGAAAAAAGTACACGTTTAAGCAGCGCGGCGCTAAGAATATACACTTTTGCCCGACCAAGCTGTTCGGCCGGTTTAATCTATCTCGTATTTTGTCTGTTCTACCTTTTCATTTTTTCCATTTTTTATTTAAATAATACTATGAGCATTGTGTTATATTACAATATTATTGTTTAAATAATTAATCTCTCTCTCTCTCTCTCTCTATATATATATATATACAGGGTGAATTGCTA